GATAGTGCTGGTCACTGGCGGGCGGTACTGGTCACCGACAGGAGGTACTGGTCACCGATAGGCGGCGCTGATCACAGGCAGGCGGCACTGGTCACCGGTCAGGGTCGCAATTGTGAAACACGACGTGCAGAGCCGACAAGCCGTACGGCTGCCCATGCAACGTGTCGGCTATATGCACCGCCTACTTGGACGCTTCACAGCAAGCAACGAGTAAGACTGCCGTTGCAGCAGTGGCAGTCTTATGACGTAATGCGACAAACACCACATTTGTTTTAAGGAATTTTCCTCTGTTACTGGGGTTCTTTGTAAAAATGTCGGGAAAGTCGACCATGACGTTGCAAATGCCTTGCTCATCGCAGTAGAGCGTTGCTATCCCGCATTTTCGTCGCGCAGGCTCGGATGCGAGGCCATTATTCCGTGGCTCAATGTGATAGCAAATCGGCATTCGGAGATAGGTAAGCAAATAAACTCAGTCTGACCTTCACGCACCCTCCGCCCAACGTCGCGGTAGATGCGTCACAACAAATGGGCGGCCGCTTTAACTACAGGCCGGCGTTGGCAGCCAGCCTTATGTTACATCTCTGTTAGGGACAGTGAGCTGGTGGGCAGCGTTACATTTGTCTCGTGCCTCGCTGTCCCGTGGTCCCGTAGTTAAAGACCCCAGCAAATTTATTCTCGCTGTTTTCCGTCATCCCATCCCTTGACGGTCTCTCTTATCCGTAATAGGTTTCTTTTCACGATTCGACCTTCTCAACATCGCGTTCTTTGACACCTCTGACCCCTGTCTCATTCCCTCGCCTGATCTTCGCGCCATCGGTCATGTCTTCCCATCATCCCATTCTTCCTCCCGCCATCACCCATGCCCGCCCCTCCCCCCCCCCCCCCACGTCGTCTCCGCTCCCTCCCCTCCCCCGCCGTGCCGTCCTCCCGCCGCACTTCCGGTCCGCAGCCGACCGGGCGGGGCGCGTCCCCGCGTCGTGCCGCGGGCGACCGCGGCGCCGGCGCCGCTCGTCGAATCGATGCCGACGGCGCCGGCCGCCTGAGACGAGCGTCGGTGTCGACCGCGGCCGGGCCGCCCCTCGTGCATGGCCGCGGCGAGCCGCTTCCACCTGGTGAGTGACGCGCCATCGATGGGGCCAGCGCCCTCTGCCGCGCCCGCCATCTCGGCTCAGGGGGCCGGCTGCAGCGCCAGGGGGGTGCTGCTGCCGGCGCCCGAGGGGCGACCGACGGTGGGAGGTTGCCCTGGCGAAATTTGTGGCATGTGGGCGCTAGGGTGTGCTACACCGATCCTGAGCCGGCCGTGCCGACGTCGCTTCCCGGCAGTGTCATTCTGCATTGATTAAATAGTGGCCGCCTCCTCTACCTAACGATTTTCTATTCGCGATCTGCAGCCGCTGTGTTGCCGGACCGCAATCCTCGGTATGTGGCGTGGTTTTGACGCCGGCGTGAGGTGCAGCGGCTGTCGGACCGGCGAACTCTGCCGGCAGGTTTGCGCTGTTCTGCTGACCCAGGTCGTGCCCTGTCCCCACCTGAGATCGGGCCAGTCCAGCTGCTCCGTCTGGCGGTCACATGTCGCCAAGAAGATCGTCCAGGCGGTAAGGCCGCGCAAGGAATGACTGGTTGCGCCGCAGCTCTCTGCGGCGCAACATTGTCGTGTTTACATTATTAACCCTGCCTGGCACACATCTCACCTCATTCAAAGTGGCGGTAGGTCGGCTGGTACGGCTCCTCTTACCAGTCCCACACACAATTCGTGAGAGCAAAAAACGGCATGGAAAAGGTCGGGAAACAAGACGGCATATGACAAACAGCGTTTAGCTAGGTAACTCTTCAGAGACTCCCATGGGTAAGCTGTCAGATGGAACCAAACGAGTTTAAACAACGTTCCCTTCGACTCCACGAGCTTCACATGAGGGTGTTCGCAGATATAATTGGCAGAGACTAAAGCATACCACTATTTACTTCGAGGTGATAATACCAAGTCAATCGATGTCATTCTATAACTTTCCGTAACCTTGACCTTAAATAACCCCATGCTTAAGAATATTCACACCACGGTAGTATCGGTACACCGTGCAGAGGACTATAAAAAATACTTTGGTCAGTTTGGAAAATTGTTCTGACATGACCACTGAAGATGTCTCCTCCAAATTGTACAGAACGCTAGGAGATAGAACGCCCCACACCCTAACCCCACCCCCCACCCCAACCCCAGCCAAAAACTCCACGCCGAATCAGAAGGGAGACTTGCATCGGCCATTATACCTACTAGGGGCTTTCAAATGCAGTTGTCCAAGGAGCACAGCAGGTATTGCTGGATGATTTGTCGGTCCTTGTCTGATACCGTCTCGGGAGGGCACAGCCAGCGTTCGTTTGCCATCGAGCAAACGTCACGTGGTGCTGCGCGGCCATGCGCCAGTCCACGAGTTTGACTGAAACGAACTCTGACTGTGCGATCTCTTCTGCCACTGGTTCACGAATTGGCTTTCAGCGTCGTTCCTGAAACCTCGTCATTTGACCATGCCTAGACGTATTATTGATTTCCGTCGAAGCCGACTGACCTGCTGCACACAGCTCGCCACACCACAAAGCCAAACCTCGAAACAGCAGACAGGTAAATCTCGGCGAGGCCGCGGTATATTTAGTGAACGATAAGTGTCGAGGAGAGGGGAGCACTCCCATCTTTACAGGCGTTTCATCTGCTTCCTCCCTCCCCCCCCCCCCCCCCCACAATTGCTAAGTAGCATTGCATGCGTTCCCATGGAAATCGTCATTGTTTTATCCCTTTATCAAATGTGGACACGCCGGTGGTTCATGGAAATTCCCGCTGTCAACAAAAGCACATGAGTCTTAAAGCTCTTACCATCATCGGTAACTGCACGTGGAATACAGTCTAAGCACAGTTTTTAGCAATTTAGCAAAGTCCGTTCAGCAGGACGTTAACGGCCGTCGTCTGTCGAGTCCTCGCCTCTGCCACGTGTCATGACTACCCGCAGCGAGCTGTATAGACTCGACGCCCGACGATTTTTAGTGATAGACGTAGTCCGGAGCACACATGTCCTCTAGAATACCCGCATTTCTGAAGGCCCCCGCGGCGTTCCTGTCCCCGTTCCCGGTCCACGCCCTGTCGAGAGCAGACCCCTCATTCCCCAGCCACGGAAATGATGCAGGCAAGGGGAGACAGCAGTGCGGGCCGTCGTGGGCAGGTGTCGAGTCGACGGAAGGAGGGCGGCGAAAGGAGGGGGGGGGGGGGGGGGATGAAGAGAACTACGACTAAAGGTGGCGCCGTCGCCAGCCGTCGCAAACATCGTTGGAAAGCTTAGGTGCAACACAGCAGTCTGCCCGAACTCCTCAGCCATCCGGTCATGTCATGTCATGTGCTGTGTCGACGCCGCTGCTCTACGTTCGTCATATCCACGTTCGTCAGTCGGTTCACCCCACGCACGCGCGCCGTACGCGGCGGCGGCCCAGTACACCCCCGCGCCGTCGTCGGGCGCCTCACCAGCGCGCGTTCCTACAGCGCTGGCTGCCGCTGGTGGCCCGCTACAACGTCAGCCTGCCGGTCACGTGTCCGCTGCACCCGTCGCGTCAGCTGGTGGGCCGCCCAGAGCGGGCGCCTCCTCCGCGGCGCGCCGGCGGCTGGCGCTGCGGCCTCTGCGGCCGCCGGTTCGGCCGCGAGGTGCTGCTCGACTACCACTACTGGGCCGACCACCCGGCCGAGCTGACACTCCAGGTCAGTCAGGGTACTCGGGAGCTGCCAGGGCCGACCACCCGGCCGAGCTGACACTCCAGGTCAGTCAGGGTACTCGGGAGCTGCCAGGGCCGACCACCCGGCCGAGCTGACACCCCAGGTCAGTCAGCGGCACTGGGGAGCCGCCAAGGCCGACCACCCGGCCGAGCCAACACGCCAGGTCAGTCAGCGGCACTGGGGAGCCGCCAAGGCCGACCGCCCGGCCGAGCCAACACGCCAGGTCAGTCAGCGGCACTGGGGAGCCGCCAGGGCCGACCACCCGGCCGAGCTGACACTCCAGGTCAGTCAGCGGTCCTCGGGAGTCGTCAGCGCAGCGGCCAGACTGAGCTGCGCAGGGCAAGAGGTGCTGAGGGCCAGGAGCGGAAGGTGCTGAGGACCAGCGGGGAGAGGTGCTGAGGGCCAGGAGCGGGAGGTGCTGGGGGCCGGGGTGGAAGGTGTTGAGGGCCAGCAGGGAGAGGTGCTGAGGGCGTACTGAGGGCCAGGGGCGGGAGGTGCAGGATAATGCAGCCTGTTAAAAATGTAAGTAAAGATGAATTTCCGTAGGGTCAGATACAGGGTCCTACTACCCCGATCGCTGATACATGCGCTCAACCTGTGTCGTGTAACGTTTGTAAGCTGGTCATCAAATAGCATAATTGTTTGTTTTGCGTTCACACATGGTCGTATCCGATCTTACAGGTCAATTGGCACTAATGTTTATGGTCAAGACACAAATGTAGTCAATTATGCATGCCAAGTATCTATTGGGATTTGAACCGCACCGAACTATGTGGGTACATGTCATGCCTCCACATTGTACATGGTAATCAACGAATGGCACGCCTGAGATTGGTTGTAATATGTTCCACAATCGTTTTGCAATATTGAACCACTTGACTGAACTGTTAAGCATTATATTTTGCATGCGATATGCATGCACAGGAAAGACTGATGAGTGTCAGCGATCTTGTCGGGATCAGTGGTATGCTATGACCTGAAGGTGGCCATCTTGGAACCGATGACGACGGCAGTCTGTCTTCTTTCGACAGGACGAAACCCTGGTGTGTCCTGCCGACTTCTGCGGCATCTTACGCTGCAGCGTATACTCGCACGTGCTAACTTCGGGTCGCAGCGACCTGGAGACGACCGACTTGCAACCGGTGGAGACCTCTTCCAGGCAACCACACGCCGTGCAACCGGCTCGACCGCGCCACCTGCAAAAATACTCTGAAGCGAGAGTGCTAAATGATGCCACCAGACGGCAGTGCAGTCGGTGCGTGGATTCACGGCAAAACGGACAGCCCCAGTGCATGGACAAAGCTGCACCGGACAATGCCAGCATGCCGGACTTGGAAAGTTGGTGGTGGTGGTCTCACACCTGGTGGTGGCTTGATAACTCCCCGGCTCCGTCAACGGATGACGTCATCAGTGATTGTGAAGAGGAGCAGAATGAGAGCTCGCTTGCGGATCAGGCGTGTGACCCGGTCAAAATGGAGCGACTGAGGATCATGTGTGAGGTAAGTTCAGTACCAAGAATCACCATAAGGAGAACTAAAGTGCCGGGCATCTGAAGTCACGATATGAAGTACTGCCGTATTGCTGCCGCGTTGTAGCGTGAACGGCTTGCAGCAGATCCATGAGAAGCCAGAACTGCGCAGAAACGTTGCAAAGTAGGGAAAAAGACAACACCGATGAAACGATAACGTGTGAATCAGAAGGTATCGCACCTTCAAAGTACGCATTTAAACAATAGTTGACCTATATTATGTGTCCTTGTGCTGGAAATAGCCAAGCGATCTGCGGATCCTCTGATCATCTACAGTCCTGCCTCTGGGCACAGGAATGGGGGCATAACTATCGTTGCAGTCGTACCTCTGGGCACAGGAATGAGAGCATAACTATCGCTGCAGTCCTACCTCTGGGTACAGGGATGAGAGCATAACTATCGCTGCAGTCGTACCTCTGGGTACAGGGATGAGAGCATAACTATCGCTGCAGTCCTACCTCTGGGTACAGGGATGAGAGCATAACTATCGCTGCAGTCCTACCTCTGGGTACAGGGATGAGAGCATAACTATCGCTGCAGTCGTACCTCTGGGTACAGGGATGAGAGCATAACTATCGCTGCAGTCCTACCTCTGGGTACAGAGATGAGAGCATAACTATCGCTGCAGTCGTACCTCTGGGTACAGGGATGAGAGCATAACTATCGCTGCAGTCCTACCTCTGGGTACAGAGATGAGAGAGCGTAACTATCGCTGCAGTCGTACCTCTGGGTACAGGGATGAGAGCATAACTATCGCTGCAGTCCTACCTCTGGGTACAGGAATGAGAGCATAACTATCGCTGCAGTCCTACCTCTGGGTACAGGGATGAGAGCATAACTATCGCTGCAGTCCTACCTCTGGGTACAGGGATGAGAGCATAACTATCGTTGCAGTCGTACCTCTGGGCACAGGAATGAGAGCATAACTATCGCTGCAGTCCTACCTCTGGGTACAGGGATGAGAGCATAACTATCGCTGCAGTCGTACCTCTGGGTACAGGGGATGAGAGCATAACTATCGCTGCAGTCCTACCTCTGGGTACAGGGATGAGAGCATAACTATCGCTGCAGTCCTACCTCTGGGTACAGGGATGAGAGCATAACTATCGCTGCAGTCGTACCTCTGGGTACAGGGATGAGAGCATAACTATCGCTGCAGTCCTACCTCTGGGTACAGAGATGAGAGCGTAACTATCGCTGCAGTCGTACCTCTGGGTACAGGGATGAGAGCATAACTATCGCTGCAGTCGTACCTCTGGGTACAGGAATGAGAGCATAACTATCGCTGCAGTCCTACCTCTGGGTACAGGGATGAGAGCATAACTATCGCTGCAGTCGTACCTCTGGGTACAGGGATGAGAGCATAACTATCGCTGCAGTCCTACCTCTGGGTACAGAGATGAGAGCATAACTATCGCTGCAGTCGTACCTCTGGGTACAGGGATGAGAGCATAACTATCGCTGCAGTCCTACCTCTGGGTACAGGGATGAGAGCATAACTATCGCTGCAGTCGTACCTCTGGGTACAGGAATGAGAGCATAACTATCGCTGCAGTCCTACCTCTGGGTACAGGGATGAGAGCATAACTATCGCTGCAGTACTACCTCTGGGTACAGGAATTAGAGTCTAGCCGTCAGATCTTTTTTTGTCTTAGTTTGTCTTATTTAAGTAAAGTCTGTAAAGTTTGTCTTATGGGTCATCAGATACTCGTCAGATTTCTCATATCCTGCGTTTGCTGCATGGCTATGGCCATGCAGCAAACGGCCTTTTGGCATGGCCTTTTGGCATGGCCTTTTTGTTCCGGTTTCTAGAACACCCCAGGAAAGGTCTGGCCCTGTCTTGGACGGGCCGTGATTCCTTTGCAAACTCCTGGCCATCTTCTTTGACCGGCCCTCCGTGAACACTTGTTTAATACAGCCACCGACCATTGGCTTCAGAACTCTGCTACCACCAGCCCAAAAACTGACGAGCGATCTGCGGTGGCGTGTTTTTTTTCTTGGTTCAACCGTGCCAATGTTCACGGAGGACATTTTTTACCACGGGCGGTGCAAATATGAGCTTGGATCCGCCTCGTACCAGCTGTCAGTTCCGGGCAGATTTGCCAGCGTTCGGTTTGGTTTTGACATTTGAATATTTAAGCAACCATATCTGAACAGTCTGTTCGATTATCCAGATTGCATAAATTGGCAAGCGTGCATTCGGGTAAATGCTCGCCGGGGAGGAGGGGGGGGGGGGGGGGGGGAGGGGAGGGACGTGCGCACATTAAAAATACTTCGCGCACTGCGGTGCTATGTGATGAGGTAGTTAGACGCAGCATCGTCGAAAATAAAAACACGATATCCGTTCTGTTGTCGGGACGTACACAAACCAGGCATTTCGTGGCCTGTGTCCAACGATGTTTTTTATTTTGTCGCAGTTGGGGTGGAAAACTGCAGTTTTTCCTCATGAACTGTACTGAAATGTTTCCGCGCGTTGTTTTCGAAACGACGCGGTCGTGCGAGGGTTCGGTGCGCCGGCGGTGTAACGACACTGCAGTGCATGTCCAGGGCTCTCCACGCCTCGGTCCCGATGTCAATGAATCACATACACCAGATTTTATCCTCTTGGCCAAAGGACCAACGAATTGGGGGCCCTTGTACATACACGTGCGCTCTTTAGGAGCGATGGCGCAGGCCCAGTGAGCCTTGACTAGGCTGTGAGAGTCTTCACCTCGAGTGTTCTGGTCGAGCTCGGCCTGTCAGCACAATTTCTGGAAGTTGATAACCCGCAGCCAACGATTGCTGGTGCATGCAGCTTTTAGCAATAATAAACAAAATCATTAAAATAGCGAGCCATACAAATGCAGCTGTCTGGTATGTGCATCCCAACATTCTGATGAGACAGGCTTTCCCCCAACACTGTAATACCATTGCGATTTCACCTCACCTATTGGGTTTGATTGAAAACACAGCTTGTAGAAAATCTGACTTATTGGATCGACAATGAGTGCTGAATTCAACAGCCCAACATTACAATGACGCTACACTGACATTATGACGGAATAGAAAGCGGGCCAGGGGGAGGGGGGGAGGGGGGGGGGCGCAGGGGTCACGGTCATGCGCTCTGTGTGCAGATCATGAATGCACCCGTTTTAGGACGCTTTTAATGATTGATGTCTAGTGTCAGCAATCAGAATGGGTGAAGACATGAAACCAGCTGCACAGTACAGGCCAACGAACCAGTTCCAACTCCTTAACGGACTCCAAAGCTGCCTGGCTCATAGACCCGCCCATAATACCGGGAAGACCGGGAGACTATAACCGAGAGGAGGTCAGTGTAAAATTTTCCGGAACCAATCTCGAATACATGACGCTGTGACCTAAACCAAGAACGGCTGGGTCGTGGAAGCTACACGTAGTGTGACCCCGTTTAATATGACCAACGTCCACCGAAAATAGCTGCGTTTTAGCGATGCTGCGGTCTTTGCCTGAAAGCTGAACGGCTGCAAACTTGATAATGCTCTTAATTAAAATTACGAAGCCTACTTCTGTGAATAGCCCCAAGATTCTTGTATGAGAGGCGTATGTACCCATAGGCACTGACGTCTGGCATGAAATTTTATAGATCATATCAAACTCTGAGCGAGCCGAGCGTCTTTGCACAACATGACAAAAGAAGCAGCCATGATGCTTTTTTAATTTTCATAGGTGAGACAGAAGTAACAGCCTTATTCCTCGGACGAAAACTAGGGTAGTGGAGATGTAGATAGGTTAATATTTCGGCAACATGCCTTTATCGAAGCAATAGGGGAAGCATTGGCAAACAATAGCACTTATGATATTTTTTCGATAAAGGCATGCCACCGAAATACCAACCCATCTACATCTACATTATCCTGGTTTTTCTCCGACGATAAGGCTATTACTACTATCTATGTGGACAATGTTTCTCACAAATACACTGAACAACTCGTTTTAATTTTAGTTGGCTTACACACTAAAGGGACGACAATTTCCAACTTGTTTTTCCATATAAATGAAAAGGGGACCCGCTAGCCCAATTCCAAAAACGCACCCCTTGTGTATGAGTGCATGTGGGGTGGGCAAATGGTAGGATTATTCATTGCCTTCCGAAATCAAAGCGACGAGAGCACGGGGCAATCTCGTCACAAAGTATCTGAAAATTAGATGTTTGTCGTACCGCTGTGTACCGGAACGGCGTACCGCAGCAGGTTTTGTTTTGAGTGAGTGTGTTTGCCAGTCAGTCTTCTGCATGTGTACGTTTGTATCGTTCACGCGTTTCCACCTGAGTGCTCTTTAACACGATCCTCAAGTTGAATGTTGACCTCTAGGCTTTGCTTATAGTCGGGGTTATAAGCATTGAAATATTTTCAGGACCTCGTGGACGACTGCATTTCGCCTCTCATCTTAGATCTTTCACCGGAAGAATTTCGTACCATGCAGGGTAAGTTACTTTACTTGGAATCCCCACCGAGCGACGAGAGTCTCAGGGATCTATTAAGGTTTCGTTAAAATACATTCAGGGTCGCTGGACACGAGCAGCATACATTTTCAGCATCTTAGTTTCCAACAGTTTCGCGCTGCTTGCATACAAATTGCATGAAGTCGTTGCGTCGCACCCCACATTTTGCGGGTGGGTGCAATGCATGATATGCTTTCAAACGTGATTATATTTTTAAATGGTGGCGAAACTTCGATCCAGTTTTTGAGAGTTGAATTCCATAAACAACTGCTGCCATGGCGCGGCACCGGCTGGGACCTCCGATGGTCCATGAACGAAACGGACCGTAGTTTAGAACTCAAGTTTTGCGCTCAAGTAACTGCATTAATAATCTGGCGAGACTGGTGAGTAAAACTGCCGCGAGTATTTCGCGAACGACGGGAACCACAGTTTGATTCAAGTTTTGAGGTCAAGAAATTGTATTGCTGCCTTGGTATGGCTGATGCGTAAAAGACACCGGCGCTGAAAGTTGCCGGCACTTCAGCTTCCCGATATTACCCTCTGTGTTCTTATTCCGTTAAACGACCACAGTTACACTTGCTGACTCGCCACTCAGCAAGGAGACGTAACCGATCCTCTCATCGGCAAATGTGAAGTCTGTCCCACTTTCTGACGACGAGTGTAATCTCACTGCCCAAGGTGGCAATAAAACCGATACGGCTTTGATAAAGACATAATGCGGTTCTTCGTTCAAGACATGCCTCAGCGCCGCCGTTCGGTTGTGCTGACTCACAGTCTGCATTTGACAGGAGTAAGCAGAAGCCGCATCTGACCATTCAGACCGAAAGTAATACCTTGACTCCTGACCTTGAGTCAGGAGTCAAGGTACGCTGTTACCCTGACTCTCACCGCGGCAGCGGACTTGCACATTTCCCTCCCGTCAGGAAGATATCTGAGACATTTCTGACTGCCCGCCAGAGGACCCGCATCCGGCCCCGCCGGAGGACCCACATCTGACCCCACCAGGGGACCCACACCTGACCCCGCCGGAGGACCCACATCTGACCCCACCAGGGGACCCACACCTGACCCCGCCGGAGGACCCGCATCTGACCCCGCCGGAGGACTCACATCTGACCCCGCTGGGGGACCCGCATCTGACCCCGCCGGAGGACTCACATCTGATCCCGCTGGGGGAGTCATATCTGGTCCTGTCGGAGGACTCGCATCTGACCCCATCGGAAGACTCCTAATGATCCCGCCGGAGGACACATCCAACCTCGCCGAAGGACTCACATCTGACCTCAACGCATGACTCATGACCCCGCCTGAGGCCACACATTTTAACTCAGTCGCGCCGACTTGTGTCGGCTAGTGTTTATCTGTGTCAGCTCATCCGTATCTGCAGCGCATAAGGCTGGTTTCGACTGCTATTCCGAAGAACACAGCGCAGCTTTGAGCAGAGGCCGATCCCGACTCGAGATGCGACCCATTTTCAAAATGAAGTCTAGAATGTATTTGGAATTGCAGTTTAGCAATATAAAAACAATAATGCGTATGTGTAATGTAATGTAAAAATATCAAAATAATTTCTGGAACGTAGATTGGATCGGTTTTGACGACACCATTTCCGCGAGAGTAATTTTTCAGGAGATAACCCCTTCTTTAGGTGCCACAAAAGCACCTGGAGCATTTGTTTTGCTGAGAACAGGGCTATGTGCAACTGTTCGGCTTTTGGTTAACATGTATGCGACGCCGATGGCTAGTATACCCTATTACCTGCATTTGTATTGTATTCGACTTACCAGTGATTTGATTGACCTAACTCCAGCTGCAACTCTGACTCACAATAAAAGTTCCAGGAAATCAGTGCTAGCCGGACTTTGCAAAAGTTTGGTTTATTCCAAAGTTCAATCCAATTCCACCGGAATCAAGCACAAAGCTGCTGCTAGAATATCTGTATCCGAGTGCACCACCACTATATTTCTATGCTGTCGGCCGCTTGCCTGCTGTCCGTTGATCACGTACAGATGTGCGGAATACTGTGGCAAAATACCCGTCGTCGGCTGCATTCATCGCGTGTCGTTGGCCGCCTGTGCCGGCAGCGGAGCTCAGCCACGTCACGTGCTGGTACCTGGCCTGCGACCGCTACTGGGACCGCTCGCCGGCGCCGGCGCGCGTGCTGCCCTGGGCCCGGATCGCCGCCGCGCTCACGCTCCCCACGCTGCTGCTCTCCTATGTCTACTACCTGCTCTGCGTGCTGCGCTTGTGAGTCGACCGCATGTCGTCGCTCAGTGACACACTGGGCTGGAGTGGGCAAGGCTGTGAACGTGTGGAGAAGGAAGAGGTTGCAACTAGGCTCAGACCGATACCAGACATGTATTTCATGTTCTGAGCCACGTGGAGCATGTGTCCAAACCAGTCTGCCTGTAATTCAGTCATCTCAAAGATCTGGGCTGAACTGACCTAGCCTTCTCGTTGGAGAACGCCAATGTCTGCGCGCCGGACGTGACCTGGCATAACTTGGCGTGACCTGACGTGACCTGGCGTAACCTGGGGTGATCTGACGTGACCTGGCGTGACCTGGCCTGTCGCGCGGCAGGGAGCGGCGCCGAGAGCCGGGAAAGGACTTCATCCAGGTGACGTGTCCGCACGAGCTGAAGCGACGCCTCCTGGAGCGGACTGTCAGCCGGGAGCCGGCCCGGCCGCGGCGCCCCAACGACCTGTTCGCCATCTACGACGGCGACTACGAGCTGGCCCCGCCCAATCACGTGGACTACTGAGACACGGGCCGGCCTGACCAAGACACGTGGGCTACTGAGACACGGGCCGGCCTGGCCAAGACACGTGGACTACTGAGACACGGGCTGGCCTGGCCAAGACACGTGGACTACTGAGACACGGGCCGGCCTGACCAAGACACGTGGGCTACTGAGACACGGGCCGGCCCGGCCGAGACACGTGGACTACTGAGACACGTGGACTACTGAGATACGGGCCGGCCTGACCAAGACACGTGGACTACTGAGACACGGGCCGGCCTGACCAAGACACGTGGGCTACTGAGACACGGGCCGGCCTGGCCAAGACACGTGGACTACTGAGACACGGGCTGGCCTGGCCAAGACACGTGGACTACTGAGACACGGGCCGGCCTGGCCAAGACACGTGGGCTACTGAGACACGGGCCGGCCCGGCCGAGACACGTGGACTACTGAGACACGTGGACTACTGAGATACGGGCCGGCCTGGCCCAGAGACGTGGACTACTGAGACGCGGGCCGGCCTGGCCAAGACACGTGGGCTGCCGGGACACGGACCGGCCCGGCCCAGGCACGTGAACCACTGATGCGCGGGCTGGCTTGTTCGACCACTGGCACCACTGAGACAAGTGCTATCCTCGCTCAACGAAATGGAAACTATTCCGATGTGGTATTTCCTGTTGGGCGGTGCTGCGGGGTCAGGGGTCAGCTGGGTCACCACTCCCGCAGCTGACCGCCACCACAAGGGCGGAGCGGGGCCGGTGCTGTGGGGTCAGGTGGGTCACCACTCCCGCAGCTGACGCCACCTCGCGGGTGGGGCAGGGCCGGCACTGTGAGGTTAACAGGTCTCAGTACGTGTCCTCGCCTTTTGAACCGTGCTTGTTGTACCAGTGAGTGTTACATGGCGCCTGCGCTTGCTGGTTCGATGTGCAGACGGGAGCGTGCTGAAGCGGTCTAGCTGTTGTGCCTCACAAACGCGCTAGTAAGAGCACCGACATTCCATTGTTTCAAATGGCACGTAGGGCACCGGCCTGACCGCTGTTGTCGTAACTATCAATTTTGGACGTAATCGCATGATCTTTTGCATGTCGATATGAAGAAGAATTAGGCGCCATTTTTCACCAACATCTCGATTCTGCCTACTACACAGTGCGCCTAACTAATAAAACATGGACACGGAATATAACAATTTGATGTAAGAATTGAATTGGACTGAAAGGAACTGAAAGTTATCCGTCCTTTGTAAAGCTGACCCATCTAAAAGCAAAGCTTCACACTCCCTGATTTGGAACAAACTCTTCACCGTACTGCTGCGGGGTCTGAGGTCTTGGCTCAGACGTCTTTAAGAGGTCCTATGTTAGTCTTACTCCGTCGAGAGAATTCCGCCCGAAGCGTAATATCAGCACGACTCAGAAAAGATGCAGCCGTCCGTACTTCTTGTTTTTCCCGGTGTCTCTGTCTCTCCGAAAACTCAAAAAGGTGAAAAAGACCATGATTGAAAGAAAGCGAGGATTTGTTCATACCCGACCCGACCTCCATCGCGCGGCAGACACACTCAACTGTCTTGGCAGGGAGTCCGGCCAACTGACCGCACAGCCTCTGGGTGAGTGGTTCGAGGCGGTAATGGGGTCTTCATGGAGAGAACTTATGCATTGACCACAGCACTCGTGGTCGGAGAACAGCCAAAATGAAAACCAGACGAACAGTTTTTATAACAGAATTGCGAACTTTGGGAAAGGTGATGTTACACGGGGATTCAACATCACCAGATGATAAATACAGTGTAAATGACGCCATGGCCGCGTTACGCTGCGTGAACAGATCGTGACGAAGGTGTCACCACGCGAGACGAGGCAAGCATGCCGCAGTGCTGCCACCTGTGATCACCGAGGGGCGCAAAACCGCGCTCAAGCCGCCGCCTTTGCCTGGGCTTGCTTGAAGAAGCCGCCGAACGACTTTGCCCCGTCGTCGTTGAGCTCCGCGTAGCCGGCCATCTCGGACTTGCAGTTGGCCAGCCAGGAGCGGACCTTGGGGAAAGGTCCCAGGTCGACGACCTCTGTGGCCTGCGGCAGTCGGAAGGTCTCGGTCAGCCGGTAAACGGGCGTCGCTTATAATAGACTTTCGATATCTCCCGGCTGCCATCCACATTCTGAGCGGAAGGCTTTGGTGAAAGTGGGAAAAGCATAACTACGTTCATGCGTTGTACGAGCGAGGGTCCAGTTTGGTCGGGTTTTGCATGGAGGTACGAAAACTGGAGATCATGTCCAGTTCTAGACCAGGTAGATACATGCGTAAAGGTATATCATTGGTAGCACTAAGCCATCTTTATCCAATTGCACGCAAACAAAGATGTGAAATGCAAAACTTGTCAACAGCGCAACTCTCCCTCTTCCTTTCGCTCTCTTGTCGCTGAGCTTGAAAATCTCCCGGCTTTTACTCCTGTACTGTAAACTGCGTTCTATTGTATGGAGGTTACCAGCCGTCGCCACTCATTGGGAACAATGTCCAGCGCCAGTATTGGGGGGATGAGGAGAAGACTGGCGAGAAATTTGGGTCAATGGGTCAAGAACCCTCTCATTCAAGAGAACATGTGAAGAACCACCCCATTCAAAAGAACATATGAATAATCACATTATTCGCGGCAATAACGGACTTCAAGCAGAAGTCTCATTGTCCGGGATGCTTTTAGGATTAGCCACGTCACCCAAGGCGGTAATGCACCTAGGGATAGAACACTCCCATTCAAGGGTATGGAAAGCGCGGAGATGACGTCTGGACAATGCGAGGGCCAGAGGAGACAGCGAGATATGTTCCTCACAGGATATTGTACCGCCACGGAGCAGGTTCGCGAGATAGGGGAAAGGCAAACGATGCACATCAAACGCAGGTGGCCTGCCTGGACGCCAAATACGCGCGGTCGAGTGGGCGCGGTGTACAGGCCGAGGTCGTGACGGGCCCGGCCGGCCTGTCAGCTCGGACCTTTGCTCACACTCTCCACCGCGCTCAAGAACACAGAAGCGTCTCTGACTGACCTCAATGCTGGCGACAGTGGAGACGAGCGCGAAGTCGGCCACAGTCTGAGTGTTCCCGGCCGCGTACTTGTTGTCGCCGATGAAGCCCTCCAGCCAGCCCAGGGCCTCATTCAGCTTATCGATGGCGTCCTTGTCGACAGTCTTGGCCCCGTGGAACATCAAAGGGTACTGGAACAGATCAGCGGTGTGATACGACCGGAGCGATCACATCGGATGCGACGCCGCGTTTATAAACGGCTGCGCCACCGGCCGCCGCGTTTATAAACGGCTGCGCCAACGGCCGCTTGAGTGTGGTTCTACTCGGAGCTTGTCACCGCAGACAGTGCGTGAGGTCGGCCATAGATGGCGCAGCCGTCCAGCCACATTGCTCCGCCCTGTTTTGCACGAATATTGCCAGCGTGCAGACCTAAGTCCCCCGACGTCCTTGCAAACAACAAAGACGCAAGCCTCTGACCACAAGCGTAAATAGTGGACTCATTTAGCGATCAGTGCACACTCGCGTCAGGGCCGTGCCGAAGTCTGGGCGCCCGCGCCTTATGACTGGTGTAATTAACCTGGGTTTGCACTCCGAATCAGATGTATTGAGAGGACAGTGTGTCCGATATCACCAACATAATTTAGGTGAGATGATTGCATAACCTATAACTTCGTCGCTCGTGGCACACCGAGGGTCGCCCGGGCGGTCGCCCGTGGCACACCGAGGATCGCGCGGACGGTCGGAACTCACGATGCACTTGCCGAACCGTTCGTAGAGGGTTCCCATGTCGAAGTACATCCTCTGGTCGACGACAGCGCGCTGTTTCGGGTCGGACGGGTACAGACTGGCGCCGCCGTACTTGGACGCCAGGTAGGACAGGATGGCGCGGCTGGAGGCACACGGTCACAGCCAGCGTCGGCGCCGGGCGGCGGACGGCACACTCGAGCTCAGGTCTAACAGCCGTGTAAAGCGGCTCTCATCAGGCGGCCACCGTAAGGGCGCCGCAGTTCTTTGAAGTACGTAAGAGGAACGTGGGTCGCGTGGACCCGCCCGTGCTGACGCAGCACGCGGACGTGAGGCGTGACAATTATAGCGGCTGTTGGTGCAGGCCAGCCTGAGGTAATTCCCTGGCGACTGATCTGGAACAATGCCATGTCGTGCGGGTAATCGGACACGCGGCGCCGGCCGCGGCTGCGCACAGTTTCGTGCGCGTATTGCCGGTGCCGTGCTGACCCCGCGCCGCGGCTGTGACAAAATGGGTGGCGTCATCCGCTCACAGAAAACGCCAGGCGGCGTGGAGGCCACAAGCAGGTGTTGCAGCATCGGCCGACCCTGAGCGTGGCATCCCCCCCCCCCCGCCCTCCTCCACCTGCTCACCTCTCCCACAGGTAGAAGCCGTCGTCGTCCATCGTTGGAATGGTGTGCTGCGGGTTCATCTGACAACGAATATTTTATTGGTCAATCATTATAGAAATCGACACGGTGATGCTCGACTCTACTTGCTTGGTCTGAGCGGTCCATGATATGCTCGCATCTTTAAATGAATTAAAATGTTTGGTAATTTCGGCTCCTTTAAGAACCACCTTTGCAGCCATTTGACGCAAGGCACCTTTAGGTTTGGCTTGGCTTTTCGGCGCATCGCCCCACACCTCCTTGGGGAAAGGATCACCACGCGATTACGCCACCGCTGGCGTCCGAAGCGGGAAAACTCCCTCGAACACCTCCGGCCGAAATGTTCCTGGTTGGGAAACGCATCACCACATCCCCACTTCAGTACCCGCGCTGCGCGGCGCGATCCACAGCCACCCTGACGGGAGACGGGGCGGAGTGTGTGCGGCATCCCACACCAGGACATGTCCAGATGGGTGAGGACGACCGGTGCCCCCACCTTGATGTACTCGGGCTTCTTCTGGTCCCCGGCCATGATGTTGACGATCTTGGGGTTGACCTCGAGGCCGATGGCCTTGGCCAGGAGCAGCACGGAGCGGCAGGGCGCGCTCAGAGGCATGTAGTAGATGTCGACTCCCATGTCTGAAACGGCACGAGACGCGCGTGTAGCATATGCCCACCCTCGCGCCAGGGCGGCACGAGACAAGACGCACATGGCGCGCGCGTTTTCCATGTCTGATATGGCTCCTGGCATGCGGTGGGTTTGTAATGACTACGGTGTACGATTCAGCGGTATTAACGAAAATATATAAAAGTAAATAAAGCGGTATAAGTAGCATAATCCTTTGCTCTTATTTATTTCAAGGAACAAGAACTAACTGGAGGAAACCAACAACAGGATCCGCCCAGACGCCCAGTCATGCCCGGTGGATCTCGTAACTCAACAGGGAGCACGTCCGAACACCACTTTACTGTCACGCACTTTGTCATTGGGTCAACGGGCGTAAGATGAACAGAAACGACTTATAAGGCTATACGTTACCCCACACTTTTGGTCCCACTACTGATGCCATTCCGTAGGACGCGGCAACAATCTGGAACAGTCTTATTCTGCTGAAGTTTTAGCAATGACATTCGGCTGTCTCAACTGAGAAATATTGGTTCAAAATTTCCGTCCGTTGCGGGTAGCGAAGCCGCCATGCTGCAGAGAGGCGGTTCTGACCGATCTTTGATGGATAGAATGTCAGCAGAGACACTCTCAGCCCGTCGGCTACAACTCAGACATGAGTTTTCAATCATAAGTCAGTTGTTCGTTCCTTGGGAAAGCTTCCGATTTTTGGCATTATGAAATGTGGATTGATATACAAACACAAACGGTGAAAAATACCGACGCGATACTGACGCTGGGCACAATGTGGGCCAACAAGTTAAAGGAATGTTTCACGCTTGAAGATATTGAAGCAAACATCGGATCGGATTAAGCAAGCTCACTTTTGGTATATTATTGGTATATTATATTCGCATATTAACTACTGGTATGGTTTTTACGTGGAAGCGGCTGCTCTAGACAGGACAAGTCTGTTTAGTAAATATGCTGCTCAATGCGTCCTCAATAAGTCTTCGTACATTGAACAACTTCGGCTGAGAGCCAATGGACTGCCGGTATATCTGGCAATCGCACCCACGAACGCCAGATATGACAGCCTCGACAATGATATTTGTATTGGCCTTGATCGCCACCGGGCTTATGGAATGGCAGGATTTGAAAGAGGTTACTTTGGCGTCGTGAATGCCAAGGTGACTTTGAAATATTCTTCCCGATATGCCTTTCCCCATTTTCGCGGGCGTGTGGTTCAGAAACCAGAGAGGCTTACGTCTTAAGGTCAGGATTGTGTACAGCACTGAAAGGTTTTCAAGATGCTATTTCAGTTTAAAACTCCGTGTAAATATGGAACACTTCCTTTCAACGGCTGGGCGAGATGCTGAAGAGATGGTATGATCTTATAAGCTTGAAACGATTGATCAGCGCTCGAAAAAAAATTGATGATGCCATTCACCCAGTTCAGAGCAACTGAGGTGAGAGGAATGCTGGTGGAAATGTCAGACAGGGCACAGCGCATAGAACGAGGATTTGTTGTTCTTTACAACCCAGTCGGTTTGTACGACAAAACAGCCAGTAAATAAGCAACAGACGCTAAACCAACCACGCCTGGCAGAGTTTACATAAGTCGTCGAGCGTAGGCACCAACTTTCCCTTTCCCTTGCCTGTCTCCTGTTTATCCGTCAGTGTTGTTTTCGTGAGTGTTCATCTCCCAACACCCCACTGCTGTGACAGTCATTGTGATGAAGCGCCGCTGTGACGGCCACGGGTCATCCTGTCATCTTCCTCATTCGCGACGGTTGGGTCGTTTCGGGACTTTCATCACAGTGATGCCCGGGGCACATAAAGGCACTAGAGTTTCTCCAGTTTTCCACTTCTCACAGCTTTCCTTTACCACGGGGCTTCGCCGAGCACAATCGAGCTGTTGAGGATGCCGGTGAACGCGATGTATACGTCGCTTCTGCAAATGCTGCAGTTCAAATTGCGTTTTTCAGAGGAAGGAGAGAGGTGAATGTGAGTGAACTAGCCGCCCTTTGCGGTTGCCTCCGCCATTCATAGCTCTGACTTTCCAGCGTTTCAAAAGCTGCGTCCCTGGTCCAACGACCTCTCATTCAGCCGCCCCACCTCTCCTTTCCAATAGAGTCCGGAGGTCAACGCACTGCGAGCGGTAGAATGTGCGTCCTGACTCAGGGCGGCCAGTGGCGCACACAGGCGATCCCAGCGGGGGACAAGGGCTGGGTGGTTTGACTACATGAATCGCAGACACAAGTCAACATCAACGCGACAAGACGTCTGGGAAGCATGCATACAAATAAACGCTACACCAAGCGAAGTTTCAGCTTCCGGTTCGGCTATAATCCGTCCGGACACCTCGAGGGGCTGCGATGAGCGCGGCTCATGCGTCATGGCGTCTGGCCGCTGGGTGCGTCCCTGATCCAGGCAGGTGCGGGCCGCCTCCAACTGCCTCCTATGCCGGGTGACGTCACCGCACCTCAGCATGACGCGGCACTTTCGCATGGCGCCCGACGGCGCAGTGACTGGGCGAAATCCAGCGCCGGGAGGCCGAGCGCATATTAGTTTGCCGCTGGTCGATGTCTCTTCAACGCCTGGGGAGTGAATGCGAAAGGCGAGGTCCTGCATGACACGCCAGCCATATAGCAGAGTGGAAGGGGCAAACTGTACTGGAAACAGCGGTGGGAATCAGGCAAATGTAACGCCAGCCAGGAGTATTTCACGCGAAAGAAGATGCTTGTTCAACCATGGTGTACAAGAATCGCGGCGTCGCGTCGTTCGTGGTGCCTTAAAATATGACGGCAAAAATGGTCCGACAGACCAGAAGTACGCTACTACACTGGTCACCCAGGGCCTCCACAACACGCCATTTTAGCGGGTTCCGGTCCCAACACCATTCGCGCATAACGCTCAGCGAGGTTTCTGAGACAGCTCCAACCGTATATTGTGTGTCACTTTGAAGTTTTGTGTGACAAGCGGCAAGGCGATGGAGCATTTCAATGCATTTCACAGGGGCCGTGCATCTTATTGGATGGTCGCTGGATCCGAACAGTAAATAGGGAGCCAGCAGGATCTGGTTCCTCCGTGGTCGGAGGAGAGGACGTGCATTCAAAGCTGTGATTTGTGAAGACCGAGCCTGAATGACATCACATGCTCGCTGCGACCTGCAGTCCGAAGGTCAAACATTAGACGGGTGGGAATGACGATGAGTGCCTATTGCGCACACAGAACGCGAACAGCTCTTGCGTAAACAAAATGTTACCTTGAAGCTGAAGGTCGCCGCACACACGCACGTCGAAAGTCGAAACAAATGGTTGGTTGCGTTGCGCGTGCGCGCGAGCGTGAGACGGGCACAAGGCCGTTCAAATTTATTGAGGTAGGGGCTGTTTGAATGCTGTTTTTCTAGCGGCGAGCACCAAAAGGTCTACCGCGTCTGGAGAGCCCATCGCTGGAGATATTAACATCTAACCATCTAGGGATATCTAACTCAGACCAGAAGCGACGTGTCGACTATGTAACCGTCTGACGTCACCGTCTCACGTCACCAGACTTGCGCGCGATCGAGCTGAATCCCGGATTGGCTCACGAGCCAATCGTTCTGGTGAAAACCGCGACCCGAGTCGACTCGTTAGAAAAATACTGCTTCGAGCCATGAACTGAATAAATTTGTTTGCCAGTATGAGTTGAATCTTGCGCCGATCATTCATAATGTCGTGTCCGTAAGCCAAAGGGCACAAATTAAAATGGTGAGATGGGAAGCACAGCACGTTTCAGAAGGCTTAGAAACCGGTTCAGAGTGTTAAAATAATCAGTATGGAGCATTGATGACAATCCTTTTTTGCAAAATAAATGCACTATTTGCTACTGCAATTTCTAAGCGCCAAATACAATATTTTTTTCGTCCTGATCTGAATTTGCCAAATCTCAGCCAGGAACCAGAGGATATTACATGGTAGAGACATCCCACATTCACATATCCGATACCAAAGTCAGTGAAAGATTGTCTGCTATCTACAAAATCCGAGTGCTGACATATTTACAATTGTCGACTGTCGCAGTAATGAGAATATCCATACCAGACTACTCACTCACTACTTGAGCTGCCGCAAGCATGCTATTGCTGAGGGTATATAAAATAAACAGCAATGGTGGCAAGATCGTCTCGTCTCACATGCGGATTGTTTGTCACGGAGTGTTGCATCGAATGGATAGCGTCAATAACTATTTCCACTTTTGGAGCGGGTAAATAAATATCACCTTTCGTTCTTTTATTAGGTGCATTTAATGTCAACATGCTTCATAGAGTCACCCAATGACATGAGTATAAGATATCCTGCGGAAACAACAACCGGCGCCTACGTTAGCTTATCACTAGCTCAACTGCTGCTTGTTCAGTTCTGTGCGGGTCAGTTCGGTGCCTTGCTGGCCGGAAGACGAGGTCCAGTGAAGTGGATCTTTGTAGGACTTTTTGTGAGAAATGATAGTTACTAAAGCCAGTTCATATTTTTTTTTGTAATTCATGCTAGCCGACTGTTATCGCAAGAGCTGCAGTCCGATGCTAAATTGTTGACATGCCATCCCCATCGGCGTGGCTTAGTACCAGCTGGTGTAAATGTGGATACCTTTGTGTAAATGCATTTGGCTGCCACTTGGCAGGTGCAGACTGCCAACTGTTAGATGTAGTGCAGTCTAGCCTGCATTGAACGCGACATGATTGATGGGTATAGGCATGAAAGCCCAGGAAGACTGCGTAGCTTAATGCTAAGACTTTGGAGAGCTGGTTGGTAGCAGTTGAACAGCAATGCGTTGTTTCAGTACTTCTTTCGCCAGGTTCGCACTACAAACTTGCTGGTGTGTTACAGGCGTGCTCGTGACTGCACACACATACACGTGCGTCTAGAGGTACTTGTTTTTATTTGCACACTTGCTTGAACTTGTTATGTAAAAGTGTGATCATCACTCCCGTTGTTATAAATTTACAATAGTTTCACCCGACAACCTGTATTTTCATGTTTGTATTTGCATGCTTTGCCCATTTGAAGCGCGTTGAAACCCGTCGGCTGACGGTCCGACCCTATCAATATCATGTTGTAGCCATGAAGCCACACAAAGCGTAAGCGCGTAAAGCAAGCCACCTGTCGGAAATCATGCGTATATCGCCTATCGCTGTGTTCGAATATCTCTCTTCATGGGCTTGACATGCAGAAATGCACTGATGTTAAGTGTTTGCGCTGGTTTATGGGATGAAAACTAGCTGGCCTAGGGCTTGGCAAAGCTTGACAATTGCCATCCATGAAATTGGGCAACTTAGAATGGTTACACTATATTTTAATAATGTAACGAGGTACAGGAGCCCACAAAATTTAAAATGCCGTGATTGCGGCCCAACGTTAAATCGAGGCCTTTGAAATGCTCTGTCGCATTAAAATCCCGGAGAAAAATTCAACCCAACGGATTTCAAGTCTCAAGTAGTTTGTAAAAATACGGTAAATGCAAACCGTCCAACGCTGACGCATGCTTTAAGAACTACACCACAATGAACCTCAGTTAAAATCTCCCGTGCATGGAGTACGGCACATGTCCAAATCGTCTGCGTGCGTAACTTGCTCAAAACAACTACCCAACCTACTACACTTGTCAAAAGCTTAGGTCACCCACTGTTCGCCGACAGTGGCGTGTTTTGCTTACAGGAATTTGTCTAAGTTTTCTGCTCCGTGGTTTGGCCGCTGTGACGTCACTGCGAGGCCCCTCATTTGTGTAGTGCGACAGTGCCGGAATACGCCCTCCGGCCTAAGTCTTCAGTGACGGCGCCCAATGCGCTGGGAAAACTTAATCATTTTCGGCAGACGCTACTCACGACAAATTGGTTCGCTGACCTATACAGTCATCAATAACGCGCGCTGTTTCGAAGTCGGTTACGAAAAGTTTCACAGCCGTTTCCCGAGTGCTCGCACACCCTGCTTACGTGACTGTAGACAAATCGATTTGCGTAAACCGTGCAGGTGGTTTTACGTCTTGTCCAGCTCTAGTTCCCGATAACTCACAAATCCTGAAAAAAATTACAAAAACGGGTGCATCCATACTAGCCCACGAACACGCACAACCAAATGCACGCATTCGCTCATGCTTTTCCAAATACATTGGTTCGTTTTCTCCTTTGTCTGAATTAGTTGATCTGCGTCTTACGACGCCGGATCGACGAGATTTGCATGAGGCTTGACGAGCGTCCTTCAGGCCACTTGGAATGATACTATTTTGATCGTTGGACTATTTTCTTGCTGATCAGATTGGGAAAATTACATTCTGTTCAAATTGCAGTGCTTGCAGGGACCTGTAAGCAAGTACCTACAACTTTATACAAAGCAAGCTCTAAAGAAATATTATTTCTGTTGTTGCAACCGGCGTAAATATGCGATCAGTGGCTATGAATATCTTTGCTTCTAGGGTGCGCGATGACCGGCCAGATCGAACCGGCCCAGCTGAATAGATTACCATGACTCAAGCAAAGCCGGTTCGGCCTCTAGCCTCGACCACAACTGCACTTGTCGACATCTGGAACTTGGCGTTGGGTTCAGCACAGAACTATGCGTTGAGCTCAGCATAGAACTAGGCGTTGAACTCCGCATAGAAGTAGGTGTTGGGCTTAGCACAGAACTAGGCGTTAAGCTCCGCATAGAACTAGGCGTTGAGCTCAGCATAAAACTATGCGTTGAGCTCAGCATAGAACTAGTCGTTAAGCTCCGCATAGAAGTAGGCGTTGGGCTTAGCATACAACTAGGCGTTAAGCTCCGCATAGAACTAGACGTTGGACTCAGCATAGAACTAGGCGTTGAGCTCAGCATAGAACTAGGCGTTGAGCTCCGCATAGAACTAGGTGTTGAGCTCAGCATAAAACTTGATGTTGATCTCCGGAGTCTTAGAGGATATTTCGTGCGGAGACAAGAGCTTGAGTCCCACAATTCAAAGCTGTTTCGCTGCTGTCATGCATAGTTGCGTCACCCCAGACCACCTGCAAGCTTTGCGCTTTACCAATTGACTTCATCTATCAGTGAAGTGCTACCTGTTGACCATTGACCGTCTGCATGAGTACACAAACAAACAAGCCCTCAGGGTGCCGGTCTCGTGATGGTGAACCGCACGGGATCCTCACGTCCTGCATATGGCGGACCTCGCTTGTAACGAGCCGAGCACCGGAAGCGAGAACCGCCTTTGAGGCGCGCCACGGGCGGTCTGAGGCTGCAACGCCTCGCGCATGGAAATTAATCCTAATTGAGGCGGCGTGCGCGGCGATGCGGAGAAACGCGCGCGGCGCCGCTGCTGAGTCACGGTGAGAGTCACAGGAGGCGGGGAATCAGCATGACGTGGGCCGTCACCTCAAGCTGGCGGTTCTATTCATCGCGCGTTGACGGCTACCGTCGGCTCGTGAATGAGGGAGAGTAGTTTGCGTTTGTCCATTGCCATTCTACGCCACGGCGTGGCGTTCTTTCCGGATGCAGTCGGGATGCCTGTCCCGTGGTGCCGCCTCTGCGTGTACCTGCCGTACTTGTTCAGCGCTATCGAAGTGACCGATGGTCGATACGGTCGAGCCGAGCGAAGATAAGCCGGCTCGCTCCAGATCATGCCGGCTTCGGCGCCGCGGTTACATGTTGTTTCTCAATGACAAAACCGAAACCTTATGGTGGTTGTTTTGTGCTGAAAGCAAAACTTGCTCAGTGTGATAAAACTTTCGATTGCGTCTTACACTCAAGTGTTAAATGGCTTGGGTTGAATTTTGCGGTTGACTTCGAGACTGGTGGAATGGAGATCACCATCCGAAGAAATTTGGAAAATCGCCTCTGCTTACAGCGTAGTCGCCTATTCTGATGGGTATCTAGGCCGTAACCACCGAATGGGCGGTCACATTCCTTGCACAATTATTAGCAACTGATGCATTCCAATGCAGCATGAGAAACACGCACCTAAACGTACCAATTCCAAATGACTTTTTCCTCACGCAGTCGTGACCACGTTCACCACGATCGCACGTTTACCGTCAAACATTTCATTTCGGGACAATGATTAAGGTTTTCGACACTCGTTAACCACAGGCGTCGCGTACCACTCACTTCCACAATGAAGCAAGAACAGGTACGTAGGTAATCTGGCAATCCAGTCCAGTCCCGAGAGCTTAAGTAATGTTGGCAGATGATTGCTTTGTGAGCTGTGTTCCTAAGCCGACCTCGAACTGTTGCCGCCACAGTTCAGGTGGACATTGCCATTTACGTCGGTTAATTTTGGTAGCTTTCTCTACATTATCTATGGGCATGCGGCACCCAGAAAGCATCACAAACCTCTGAGAATCTGCGTAGCATTACATTTTAAGTCAGAACTACAGGTTCGAATTTCAAATCGAGACCAAGTACTCAGTCATTGCGGACGAGTCCGTTCTGGTTAGTCCATTTTTAAATCCCATCCAATACTGCCCGTCACGGGTCAGTGCAGTGAAATCCCAGAAGGGAACCACGGCTGGTGTGCCGCCGGCGCCTGCCGTGTGTGAACCACGGCTGGCGCCGTACCGTCGGCGCACGCTTACCGGCTGTTCTGGAGCTGGCGGGGCACGGGCGACAACGGCGGCAGCTGGGCAGCGAGTGGCGTTCGCTGCCGCAGCGACGCCTTGGCATAGTTGGCATTCCCACGCAGTGGCGGAGGCAGCGTACCGGGAGAGGGAGGAGCCGATCAGAGCCGGGGTCAGCGGAGTGGGTTAGGCCACGCAAGATGGGGATCGGGGGCAGAGCCAGGACAGTGGCTTTGGGACGATGACGATCGGTGACGGAACTCGGAGAGAGAATGTGGGAGGATGAAGATAAGTGGCGGAGTCAGGACAGGGGATTTGGGAGGATGTGGATCGGTGACGGAACTCGGAGAGAGAATGTGGGAGGATGAAGATCAGTGGCGGAGTCAGGACAGGGGATTTGGGGGATGGCGATCGGTGACGGAACTCGGAGAGAGAATGTGGGAGGATGAATATAAGTGGCGGAGTCAGGACAAGGGATTTGGGAGGATGTCGATCGGTGACGGAGTCAGGAGAAGGGAAGTGGAAGGATGTAGATAGGTGACGAGGCTCGGGGGGAGAATTTGAGAGGGTGATGATCAGTGGCGGAGTTAGGAGAGGGGAATTGGAGGAAGTCGACTATGGGCCCGGCCAGCACAGTGCGTATCGAGATTGTCTTGTGTTGCAATGACAGCTGCCAGTCCTATGCCTGCGCTATCAAATACATGCAGTCGCACTCTTGTTGCACGAATGCAAACATTGGCACCGTGGAGACGAATTCTGGCCTCTGTGCTACGGGAATTTGGCCGCTGTGAGCAATGAACAATTTCAAGAGCAAGAGGAAATACTATTTCAAGAAAAGAAAAAACGTCATGTCGACCGATGGGAGATTTGTATTGCCGGCCGAGCGTCCTCAGAGAAGGACATCGTGTGGGTATGGTCGTGCCAGCCGCGCACAAATAAAGCCATTTTAAAAATTACACAAGAACTTTGCAAACTGTCTTTTTTCTCCGGTTGGCGTTCCATTCTGGCCCAAAAAGGATACATCTGTGATGCCGGTTTACATTCTAGAACAAAGGCACTTGAATTAATGGGATAAGTAGTATTAGTATTGTATTACTTATGTGAATAGTGATCCTCGTGAGTGCGCTGAACAGCTCACGTAACTTTAATTAACGGGAGGCTAATCAAGACTTGTGCATATGAAATTGTACTGGCTGACTCTCCATTATTTCGAATTATCATTTCGTGCATTCAAACTTTTCCAGAGAATGTACCACGTTTGCGGTTGATAGTGATTAAGAAGATACGAATTATGAGTGCAAAGTAGGCCGCCGGAAATGACACCAATCTAAACCAGCGCTGGCCGGTGCCGGCCGTAGTTGGCAATGCATCCTTAAAGGGATAATTTATGGTGTAATAACTTAAAGTGTGATGCACTGGCCGCTGATAGCCCTGCAACAACGCTATCGTATGCACACAGTTACACTTTTTGTGCACGTTTACGAGTATTTTTTCCGGCTCGCCGGATTCTGGCCATCACTACACGGGCAGGTTGGACGTGGTTACCAATGCGCCTCAAAGGGAGTGCTCCACATTTGTATGGGGTTTAATACAAAATATGCATCTTGAAGATCATTTGGTGCAGTTTACAGCCCTGTCCATATTAAGACCTAAGCTTATCGTGCTTATGAGCTACACGGCCACGAAGACGTACAGACTATTTCGGGAGGTTATTTCACGGCCACCCAGTCACTTATGACGCCATAATAACGTCATTCAAAGTCTGATTTTCCATTAGCCAGTCGGTGATCAAGGCCAAAAATATAATTGTTGACTTATTCATGACTGCCATCCGTGAGAACGATTTCCAGATATAATGACGGTCGATTGGCTCCTGATAAATGTTACGCAAGGTACGATGCGGTCATAAAACAATGCCGTGCTAAGAACATATTTACTGAACAAAAATTGTAATATTCGTAGCAGAGTTTTAAATTTAAAAGTGTACCAACAGTTATAAGTGATCTTATTTCATAATATCTCATGTTTGATTTAATATCTCCAAATGCGGAAAACTCCCTGTAAAAGGATGATAAGAACAAATAAGTTGATGCCGGGCGATAAGCGACTTACGTTGCTGGCCAGTAGTGTCATCGTGAGGTCGGTGTTGTATTCACCGCAAACGCATCCAGGTATTTGAAATTAGACCCGCAACCTCGCAAATCGCCGATGTGGACGTTTCGCCAGCATCAAGTTACGCACTGTCGGGGTCGACCGAAATCACTGGAATCCGTAATCGTGTAAGTGATGTAATGCTATCTGTTTGCACTCTACCACCCATAGCGAACGGACACCGTTGCACTCTTTGCGAGTGATTATATGTGCTTTTTCATGACCGCCGAAGTCTTGGCATCACTCCACGGGCAGACCAGGCCCAGTAAGCAATGTGCTTGAAAAGGGCGACTTGAACAAAAAGAGATCTTGCCATGCTATACGTGATTTACATTCCCGACCAACAATGCTTCCTAAATGACACGATGTGCATGTGATTGCACTGACCGCACTCGCATGTAAGTATTTTAAATTGTACGCCGCGACCTTGCGAAACGCTGGCGCAGACATCCCACCAGCATGGAGTTACTTTACATGGAGTTACTTCCCTTTCCAGGCGACTTACTGTGAGGCGGGGCTGGAAACCAAGCCATGACCCAGTGCCACCAAACAGCATTAACACGCAAGCAATTCATTGAAAACACGACAACCATCAAGACACAAGACAACAAGGCACGAGTGATGACATCGGAAGCCGAACTCACTCACAAACATGCCCCAGCACTCAACAAACAACTTAATTCTTGTGTTACACAGGGTCTTTGGTGATATATCGGAGTCCCTGATTTGTGGGGCACGTTAGATATATGTGATGTGCGTGGAAGCGCACTAGCGTTGCTTGTTTTCCAGTCGTATCTTCGATTAAGTAATGCAGTGTGTTTTTGGTCGCGTGCGACCCATCAGCTCTATTTGATAATGGTTCAAGGAACAAACAAAAACGCAACGTTTTAATGTACATACGACGAAAAGACGAACTTTTGTACAAGTAGCATTGGTTTATTATTTATTATTATTATATATTAGCATCTTTAAGCTTCAGTCCGGCACAAAAGGGGCCGGGATGATTATCGCATTTAATTATTAGCATTTTTCCCGGGTCAGTATATAATGGCCATCACTCCAGGGGCGCACCGGCCGCGGTTTTCTATGGGCCTTTAAGGTGTGATTTGAACAAAAAGGTCATGCAGGCCGATAGAATTTACTTTGCAGATCGAATGTGCTCACACAATACAATTGTGTGCATATGTGTGCCACCTTCCGCGTGTTAATACAACTTTTTGAAATTCGACGCAGTCTGTGTGCAAATCACCGCTCCGGTATGACCGCATGCGTTGAATAATACGCTGCCGGAGGTCGATATAACGAAGTCGAAACAAGAACGCGACGAATCTGTTGTAATGGAGGTTGACAGCCCTTAGACAGTGCTTATGATGTACGGCCATTATCGGTCGATGATGCCCCCATAATAGCATCGCCATGACAGGGTTCACCTTCCCACACGAGGAAAAGTATTTCCAACTGGATGACTATTATTTTCGTCAGGTCCACGCCCGGCACACGCGTGCCTCTCGCATGGCTGCCTAAGCTGTCTGGCCAGAACCAATTAGTACAGCGTTACGCGCGTAGCTCGGAAGAGACTGCCCGGCCTAACCGATGACCTACATTGAGGCTGCAGCGGAATGCTGGCTAGGGACGAATCATGGTCAGTTTGAATTCGATATGTACAGTATTCGATCCAAGGCGCTTAATTGCCCGCCAGACGTTTTTGCACGAATGGTGATGTCGCGCAGACGTTCTTCCGTTAGAAGTTCGTTGCGGTGAAGTTTTTGAATAAGAAGTTGTATTATAGCAAGAAATGTCGCAGATAAATTTTCGTGTAGGAGGCTGGTCCGCGTAGAAGTGCTATCGCATAGAAGATTTGGCGTTACGATTGTTGTCGCGTAGACTTTTGAGCACCCTTTGTTATAAAAGTTCCGTTGGGTATATATCATATCGCAGAAGTTCTGCTTTTGGCGGTATTTCTATTAGAGGAATAGTCGGTACATTGCGGGTAGATGTATCCGAGCTCCTCCACCCTACCCCACCCCCGCTTCCGCTTTCATCGTTTGCTTTCTGGCGAAAGCTTCCACTTTGGCACGACACGCATTTTGTAGCCTCAATTTGATAACCAGTGGAATGGTGGTTCAATTCCTGCGCGACCGCGACATTGCGATGCTGTGTGAAATTTCTCGATGTTGTCAAACTCGTAAACGAAGCCGGGGTGCGGAGCCGGCTGTTTGACCATTTGGGGTGTGAAGGAGTGGGCTGTGTGGTCATTGAGGGTATTTACAGATCTGGGCCAGCGGTCCACATTTTGAAGGCAAGAAAGGTGACCTAATACGAAACCTAAGAGGCGAGAATTCACACTGCGGAAACAAGGATATGCGTTTGTGGTGTGGAGCACATCCCAGGATTCTGACAAAACAAACCAACATTAACCTGTTCCGTGTGTCATATTGAGAACATTAGTGCATTTCTAAACATACACATATAATCTAGTTTAGTGGCTTCAATGTGTAGATAATATGTTGATTGTGGCTGTGCGTTGCTGTGGTTGAAATGCCAATGCTGAAGCATGCAATGCCAAATTGCTATGCCATTGCACACAATGCCAGACTGTAATACCAATACACATCATTGCAATGATATTATTTAACCAGAAAATATATGTTGTTGCATTCTTTGATGGATAATTAACCTAGGGAAAAGTGTTTTGGAGATTTATACAGACATTGCTATGGCAATAGTATCTATAGGATGAATTGTAGGATTATCTACTGCCATAGCCCCAAAACTGTTGGCACCGATGAGCGGTAATGCTGTGTATTATTGTTCTGAAATATTGAAGCCCCAGCAGGCAGGTAGGGTAGAGGTGATTGCTTACATCTGCGAAGACCTGAGAATTATAGAGGTTGGGGTTATCCTACCTGAGCAGGCTCTGGATGATGACTATCCCATACATAACTATTTATAAGCTAACTTACCTTAACATTATATAATCCAGCTATGCTAGGATAAGGTAAGCTGATAATTATCTAAGACAAGCTAGTCTAGCATAGCTTAGGCTAGCTGACTTAGAATAGCTGGCCATAATCTCTTACCCTGTCCCTTAAACTTGTTCAGACTCATTTTGCCATCCTAAACTAGCTTTCTGGACTTAACTAGGATTGTTTTACTTCATCTTTATCTATGGAAAGAGCTGCATGATTCTCCATTTCATGAAATTCAACATGGTGTACCATCACCAGGTAAGCATATGGACATCAAATTTTACATGCTTTTGAATTTATCTGGAAGTGAAATAAATGGGATTTAGGCATGCTAATTCATGCTGTTTTTCCCAGGTTGAGGGCTTATTACAAACATCATGGCCAAACTTAACACTGATAAAGTTGTTAATGACCAAATAAAGCTGTTATGTCCAGCACAGGTAGCCTGATCAGGTGTCATCATTAGCTAATCCTGTGGGTCTGACAGATGGTTATGCTGTAAATGATTTGGGAAGTGTTTTACATGTTCATCTTTATGGACCATGATGTTTCTCTCCCTCTATGTTTGGCCAGCACTTACATCTCTTACAACCTTGAGCAAACTGACTTAGTGACATGTAATGCAAAACAGGCTACATCTCTTGCTGAACATGACTATGACATTCACTTCCCCACCAAAATCTCTTGTCATGAGCTTTGGAAATGGATTGGTGCAGGCTGTCTTTTATGATTACAAGCTGAGCAGTTGTAAGGCACGCCAGCTCCCAGTGTGCTCACCTGGCCAGTCTGTTTGGTCTGTTTCCACCCATTTGTCTGACTTGGAATATGGTAACACATGACTAAACATGAAGATGACTTGAAAATAGTGTTTGTTGTCATGTATCACACATGACAAGAAATAAAAACTGCAGACGATGATAGCCATGTTACACATCTGCTTCTTGCGTATTGCAGGTGCAGCTGCAGCACCTGACCGTGCAGACCGGGCCAGCTTTCACAACAGTCAGCCGGCCGGAGAGCCGCGGGGCAAGATGGCCGCCTTCGAGGAGCTGGGCATCATGCCGGAGATCGGCGAGGCCGTCAGCGAGCTGGAGTGGCTGCTCCCGACGGACGTGCAGGCCGAGGCCGTGCCGCTCATCCTCGGCGGCGGCGACGTGCTCATGGCCGCCGAGACCGGCTCCGGCAAGACGGGCGCCTTCTGCATGCCCATCCTGCAGATCGTCTGGGAGACGCTGAAGCGACTGCAGGAGGGCGGCAGCAGCGGCGCGGCGGCGCCGGCCCCGGCCGCCGACCCGGGTTGGCGCATGTCGCTGCGGGACCGCGGAGACCTGCTGGCCGTCACGCCCGACGGCCTGCGCTGCCAGTGCCGCGAGCAGCGCGCCTGGCATGGCGGCCGCGCCACGCGCGCCCCCTGCCGCGCCGGACGCTGGTACTACGAGGCCACGGTGACGGACGAGGGCCTCTGTCGCGTCGGCTGGTCCACGCGCCAGGCATCGCTCGAACTGGGCACCGACCGCGGCGGCTACGGCTTCGGCGGCACCGGCAAGAAGTCCAACAACCGCCAGTTCGACGACTACGGCGAGCCTTTCGGCAAGGATGACGTCATTGGCTGCTTTTTGGACCTGGACGGCCTGCAGATCCGCTTCTCCAAGAACGGCAAGGACCTGGGGCCGGCGTTCGATGTGACGAAGCAGGCGGCCAGCGAGGGTCTCTTCCCCGCCGTCGTGCTCAAGAACGCCGAGATGGCGTTCAACTTCGGCGACGCGCCGTTCAAGCACCCGCCGGGTGACGGGTACCAGGCGGTGAGCGCTGTCCCGGAGCAGGACACCGTCGCCAACGCCGCGTCGGCCGCGCCCGCCTCCAAGCGCGTGTACGCCAAGAACGCGCCGCAGGCGATCGTGCTGGAGCCGTCACGGGAGCTGGCTGAGCAGACGCTGCGCCAGATCCAGCTGTTCAAGAAGCACCTGAAGCCGCCGGCCGTGCGCGAGGCGCTGCTGATCGGCGGCGTGCCGGCGCGCGAGCAACGCGAGCAGGTGCAGGGCGGCGTGGACATCGTGGTGGCCACGCCCGGCCGGCTGGAGGACTTCATCAACAACGGCGACGTGCGCGTGGACGCGTGCCGCTTCCTGGTGCTGGACGAGGCGGACGGCCTGCTGACGCAGGGCCACGAGAAGATGATCGGCCGGCTGCACGCGGCCATCCCGCAGGTGACGCCCGACGGCCACCGGCTGCAGATGGTCGTCTGCTCCGCCACGCTGCACTCGTTCGAGGTAAAGCGCATGGCTGACAAGCTGATGCACTTCCCCACGTGGGTCGACCTCAAGGGCGAGGACGCCGTGCCGGAGACGGTGCACCACGTGCTGTGCATGGTCGACTCGCGCACGGACGCCTCCTGGGCGGCGCTGGAGCGGCGCGTGCAGACCGACATGGTGCACGCGCAGGACGCCGTGCGCGCCGGCTCCGGTTCGGCGGAGACGCTCTCCGAGGCGGTGAAGCTGCTCAAGGCCGAGTACTGCCTGCGCGCCATAGACGTGCACAAGATGGACCGGGCGCTCATCTTCTGTCGCACCAAGCTCGACTGCGATAATCTGGAGCGCTACCTGATGCAGCGCGGCGGCGGCCCGCGGCGCGCCGACAACCCCTACTCGTGCGTCTGCCTGCACAGCGACCGCAGCGTGGCCGAGCGTAAGGACAACCTGGAGCGGTTCAAGCGGCAGCAGGTGCGCTTCCTGATCTGCACGGACGTGGCGGCGCGCGGCCTCGACATCACCGGCCTGCCGTTCATGATCAACGTCACGCTGCCCGACGAGAAGACCAACTACGTGCACCGGATCGGCCGCGTGGGCCGCGCCGACCGCATGGGCCTGGCGGTGAGCCTGGTGTCGGCCGTGCCGGAGAAGGTGTGGTACCACGGCTGCCCGTCGCGCGGCAAGAGCTGCATGGACACGCGACTGACGGAGCGCGGCGGCTGCTGCATTTGGTACGACGAGCCGCGCCTGCTGGCCGACATCGAGGACCACCTGGGCGTCACCATCCCGCAGATCGGCACGGACCTGCGCGTGCCCGTCAACGAGTTCGACGGCCGCGTGGTGTACGGCGAGCGGCGCCAGGCGGCCGGCTCCGGCTACCAGGACCACGTGCAGCAGATGGCGTCGTCGGTGCGCGAGCTGGCCTCGTTGGAGACGCAGGCGCAGACTCTCTTCATCCGGCGTCACCTGCACCGGCTGGCGGCCTGAGCTGCCCGGCAGGCGGCGGTCTGCCCTCTCCCGGACCGGCCTGGGCCCGGCCAGCCCGTGTCCCAGACGGCGAAGACGGTCACGTGGTGCCAACTGCATGTGCTTCATGCAGAGTGGTGGGCTTGGTTTTGTTGCTGTTTTGTGTTGTTAAACGCGGCTTGCAGGTCCGGCTGCGCGACACTTTGGGGCTAATGTGTTCGCGTCAGGCATAATGCATGGCCATAGAGCATGGCTGGTTGACTTCAGTTGGTTCACCGAACTCGTTTCTTATAAACCATCGTGGTGAGGCTAAGATAAGGCTGTTCATGATTAGCTTTTACAATTGCGAATACTGGAAATAAGTTGCCTTGCCGGCGCCAGCGATAGACATAACGGTCAGCGAGTTTTGCACTGACGTAAAGGGATCACCCTGCGAAATGCAGCACCACTGTCTCCCGGTACAGTGTCCACCCACGCTGCTCACCTACGCCCATACATCGCTGTTCGCCGCGCACGCTGGACATGAGAATCGAGGCGTTCTTGCCCCAGCATGTTTCACTTCACCGCCTGCTCCGTGTTGCAGTGGTGAATATCTTCTCAATCTATTCTCCGCATTCGTCACCAGGATTTTACGGAGGGAACCGGCTAGCCTTCTGCTTCTGGAACCAAAATGGGTTTGTAGAACAAACTTATCCGTGAGTAGAATTAAAGGTATTATGCACGAGCAGTCACGCTTTTAACGGTCATCGGTCGATGGACACTGCACTCTAGCGGGATGATGACCCTAGCGGGACCCCTCCGTCTGGCGCAGCTGTGGCAGAACACCGAGCGCTGCGCCTACATTTGGGAACGGCGATGCGATTTATTTGTGGGGTTCTTGGGTATTTCGTTGTTGTCGGACAATATTAATGACCTTAAAACGTGTTCTTGATTCGATTTCGAGACCGGATATTGAGGTGCACCGTTATGGAACCCACGAACCGTACAGAAAACTGGCACTTAGCATTGCACCTCACAGTGGCGCCGAACGGGTACGCACGAAGCTCTTCAGCCGATTGACATCGCAGTAAAGTCGCCAGCTGGTTTACTTCTCTGCATGGCCCTTGGATTCCCCCGAGCAGCATCCTTCTGACCAACGCTCGACCATGCACGTATCTCCCATCTCCACCGGCGTCCGCCGGAGTCCCCATCTCCCGCGGGGACGAGGTCTCCCAGAACGCGCGCCACCCCGGCGTCACCCGCCCCGCCAGCACATGGCGAGTCATGGGCAGTAACGCCAAGCGGCGCGCCACCTGCCGAACCGGCCGCATCTGCCGCACCCCAACCGGCTTCAGTCGGCCTCCGCCCGAGAATGCAGAGGGGCTGGAGCCGCCCCGGAGCCTCCGCCGCCATACCAACCAAACGCCGACCTCAATTCGGATAAAATATATGCAGCAGTGACCAAACGCAGACACGAGCGATCCCGACGCGCGGCTCCGAACGTAGCGGCGATTTACTCCAGAGATAAATCAAACACAAGAATAAGGGCATCGGTACCTGCGATGCCACCAACCCAGAGCAGAATGACCAACGCGGCCGTCGGATAATCCGGTAAGCAATATAGCGGAGTCAGTGAACTGAATGCCCGGCGCAAAAGAAAGGAAAAACAAGGCTCGCCGAGTGGCAGCCGGCGATACGGCCATCTACCGGCGGCGGAAGTCGCCTCCGACCGCGGCCGGCCCACGCTCCACATGTGTACAGGATCTCCAGACGTCAGCGGTGGCGACACCACCTCGCAGGGACACCGAGAGCCCACCATATCGTGCAAGTGCCGACCGCCCTCCCGACGGAGCGAGACCGCGGCGCCGGGCCGGGCGCCGGCGCCTGCCTTCATCACAGTGGGGCAGAAGCGCCGGCCGAAAACCCAACAACGCACAAGCTCCGCAGACGCGCGCACGCACACGCACACATAGATATCCTGCTCTCATAACAAGGCGGCGCCTTCGGGGCCCTTCACGACGTTGACATTGGCCAGGAACATATATCAACTATAAAACTCATCCGCCCTCGGAAACGGGCGCGTTTCCCGTGCGTTGCTGAATATGCATAATGTTGACGCCGCGATTCTAAAACACGGCCAGTTCGGCGTGGCGACACGCCGACCGGTTTCGGGTCTGCTCGGCTCGTGAAAGACCCCGGGAGCTGGACGCGACCGCGTCCAGAGCCGTCTCCTCGTGGCGCGCCGGCCGCCGCACGCTGCGTGGCCCGATCGTCACGCGGCCCGTCACGACCGGTCGTCACGGCGGCGCGCTCGGCGGCACTGCCTCTGTCCTCGGGCGCGTGCCCGGCGGCAGGCTGGGCGGCGCTGGCCGTTCGGCTGGGACGCACTAGAACTCGAAGTCGGGCTGCTGTCCCGAGTCCAGCGGCGCGGCTGCCACGATCGGGTCCACCGCCGCCTGCGAGCGAGGCACGGGTCAGCTGCGGCGCCGCGTCTCTCCTCGCCGCACCAGTCACGGGTGACGCCCCCTGCCCGGCCAGCATCGCTGCCCTCCTCTGGAGCCGGCTGTCAGCGTTCCATCTCCAACCCACACGCGCCACAAACTGGCACCGAGACGCCACACTTACGGTGTGGCGCGCAAACACGACGCGGCCTCCCGGCTACAAACCCGCGTCACCGTGCGCCTGCCTCTTCCGGGAGGCCGGCCGGCGCCGCTCACCTCCAGATCGTCGGAGAAGTAGCGCTCGATGATGTCGAAGGCCAGCTGGTAGATGTCGGTGTTCTCGTGGTTCTGGAGCGCCTCGATCTTGTCCAGGCCGCCGCATTCCTCCACGATCTGCGCCACCGGCTCCACGTCCTCGCTCGACTTGAGGATGTTGTTCAGGCCGTCCAGCACCACGTTCACCACCTGGTCGGCACAGCGCACGGGTCTGGCCACTGGCGAGCCGGTGCCCAGATATGCCCGGATCACCCGTACGACTGCTCTGGCGCCGTCACAACACGTCGGGAGCACGCAGGGGAGGTGTGGCACGAAGCCAAATGGGAGGTTGTAGGCACAGGCCCAGCAGAAACGTGAACAGACGAATATGATCCACCTATCACAAGTCCCTCGTCTTTTAAAGCTATCTTCAATGACCCACATCCATCTGTGGGTCTTCGCAGCACATCACCTGACCTGTCCCCACCTGCGGGTCCTTACAGCACATCACCTGACCTGCCACCCACCTGCGGGTCCTTACAGTCGAGCAGCTGGCACATGGGCGGCACGCCGCCGGCGCGCACCAGGTGCTGGATCTGCTCGGGCGAGCCGCTGATGGTCAGGTTGCTGATGCACCAGGCGCACTCCTTCTGCGTCTGGAACTCGCCGCAGCTCAGGTGCTGTACCACCAGCGGCACCAAGCCGTGGTCGATCACCAGCTGCACCTGCTCCTTGTTTCCGGCCGTGATGTTGGAGAGGAACCAGGCCGCCTCCTGGCGGCAGGGGGAGGGGCGGGGGTAAGCACAGCGCGGCCGGTCGCCCCAAAGTCACACGCATACACTGAACACTGTCCAGCGCCACCCGCGACGGCCAGCGACGAGAGGCTGAGCAGACTGCAGCCCAGACTTGAGCCCGAGACGTGCCGTCACCGACACATCCGCTTCACTGGCGCCAACGGATGCCATCTGGTACGCCAGCCCCGCGCCAGGCGGCGGCGGCAGCTGTCAGCCAGCGGTGCCCAGTGCTCACCCTCACCAGCGCGCTGGCCAGGCCGAGCCGCTGGCTGCTGGTCTGCGCAGAGCGTCTGTCCTACTGCCGTCCCCGCGGGTGCTCACCTTGTTAATCTTGTCGCGGGGGTGCTGCAGCAGGCCGGGGAAGTGCTGCAGCGCGCCGCAGTTGAGCACCTGCTGCGTCTGCTCGTCCGTTCCCGTCACGATGTTGCCCACCGCTCGCAGCGCGGCCGTCTGAACCTGCCGGCCGCCAGGCGACGGTGAGCGCCGCTCGGCACCGCCCGCCGCCTCGCACTGACGGACGGCTCGGCCGGCGCCGGCGGACGCGGCCGGAGAACCACGACCGGACCGGGCCCCTGGCGCAGCCCGCGACAGCGGGCCAAGCAGGGCGCGCGCCGGACGACACCGCGGAGCCGGAAGGGGGCCTGGCATCACGACTGACGCCAAACACGCAGGGGCGGGAGGGGGAGCGGGGCGATAATGTTCGCCCGTCCGGCCACACGCGGCTCTGGGCTGCCCACCTTGGTCTCGCGGTGCGAGAGGAGGGGCACCAGGCGCGGCGCCACGCCCGAGTCCAGCACCATCTGGATCTGATCGTTGCCGCCGTCCGTCAGGTAGCTGATGGCCCAGACTGTGTCCACCAGGATGTTGGCGTCCGTGTGCTGGATCAGCACGTTCAGAGAGGGCAGCAGCTCGCCAATAGTGTCCGGCGACGGCGGCGGCTTGTTGTTCCGACAGAGGTTCACCAGCACCTGACAGAAGCGCAGGGGTTTACGTACGGCAACACGGCGGACGCCTGCCAGCGCCGCCAAATGGACCGAATGTTGACCACCATTTATCACATGACGACAGTTTCACCGGCGTCTGGTAACAATGGACAGGCTCACCAGCACCAGTGCCAGGGGCAGATGATCGCCGGCATGTGATGAGGGACATCGTCACCATGATGTTGTGCCATCATCCTTAAACAGCACACAAGACACCAGCGTCTGACAACAGCACACGAACTCACCGGTGCCCGCACCTGATTATCAGATCGGGCCTCAATAATCAGCAACTGACACCAGGGCGGTCGCTCGACCGCGCCCGCGGGTGAGCGGCAGTGAGCGGTTGGGGGAATCGACCTCCCCCAAACTCGCTACTCCGCCACGACTTCAGAGTCCTAACCTCAGACATCATCTTCATAAAATACACAGCAATTCACGCGCAAATAAACAAACCAGGGAAAGCTCTTTCCTTTTCCTTCGAATGGCACGATGACGCGATCTAAGCCACAACAGGAGATAGCATTTAGGGCACCCTTAGTGCACTCATCCACAACAGAGCACCGATTTTGCAACACTACACCACTGCCGGGACAGCATCTAACAAAAGAGTTTCACCAACACAAACCCATACAACAGAGGTTTATCACTGCCTGACAACAGGACACAGGTATATAAACATGCACCTAATAAGGTCAGCGGTTTCACGGGGCCCCATACGCTGACAGCGGAGCACCAGCACATGGTCTCTTATATTACCGCCCACCCGTCATCACCTACCGCTTGTCACAAGCAGATATCGGTTACCTGTTATTGC